CATTTGCGAAAATGTAGGTTTACAAGATTTATAACTAAATATGTCAATGGCAAATTAAACATTGTTAATAGTCATAGTTCGTACCTAAAGTTGTTGATTCTGGGGATTGAATTCAGTGATACAAGAAGCTGCCTGGAGTGCACAAGGACATGAGTTCAATCTCTCTTACAAAAAAAAAAACAAAAACAAAAAAAACTCACAGTTGTCAGTGATGCAGTGCTATGAGCACATTTATTGAAACTGATACTTGTTAATTAATAGGCTTAATGTTTCCTTTGTGGTCTATGAAATACCTGCACATAACATGGCAATTACAGTGAATGATGTAGTGTCCCCTATAGGATTGGTATTTTCTGAGTTGTTTTTATTTTTTTTTCCCACATACTTAAAAGTTGAAAATGTTGGCTGTTGCTAGCTAGAAAAACTGTGATAATCATTTTTTTCAATTTAGTGATATATTTCCCTATATCCATTAAGAACATTTTATTTGCTACAATTACCCCAAGTCAAATTGATAAACAATTCTTAAAGTTACAGGCAGCTGAGTTAGTTAGAAATACAGGCAACCATACCGTGATAAAGTGGAATGAAATTCCTGACCTTCTATGTCGGGTATGAGTTTGTGTTCTATAAAGTGCAAAAATGAATTTTAGGAAGAACAGAGTTGAAGAGCAGATAATATTTATTGAGAGAAACAAAGTGAAAGTATTTGGCTCTAAATAGGATAGTTTGGAATTGGGAGGTGGAACCAGGGGACTTTTACCTTGAAGTCCCTTTCCTCTCCCCTATTCAACCTACCTGTGGCCAGAAAAGAATCTCAATCAGTTACATGCATATCAGCAATGCCATCTTTAATTAAGCACCACCCAAGTCAAAAACTATATGTATGCCACCCACATACTTCCAGAAGAAAAAGCAAGACCACCCAGTGGTCATGGGGTTCTCCCCATATTCTTAGAATAAAGGCAATTTTAACTTTGTATTCTCTTCTTTACTACACCAAAAATCCTATTGGAAAGCTTCTATCTGAGAAAAACAGGAGGGATTCTGAGCCTGTAGCAAAAGACTCTGTCTTTTCTAGAGACCTTACAGAATAAAATCATGCGATGAGATAGGTTTAAAGTGGGTTAGATTACTGAGATTACTGAGGAGGTAAATTAGCACAGTAGAGAAGCAGAATATAAGAAATGTAAAAGTGGCCTTTTATTTAAAGAATGTGGAGAGGAGCCCACAGCCACCAAGGGTTGCCCCCTGCCCCGACTGACTATAGGGTTATGGGGTATATGTGACTTTTGACTGGATGTGGTGCTTGGAGGGGACATTGATGTCATGCAAGGAGCTGATGGGAATTTTCTTTCGGCCCCTGGAAAGAAAGAGGAAGTTGTATTCAAGGAGAAAAGAGGAACTTCCCATATGAGTAAGCATCCCTGATTTCACCTTCTTCCACCTTCAACTACCACCATGAGGTCCTGTAATTGTTTGAAGGGCAAAGCTCTTTCAAGTACATCCTTTGGTTTGAATGAAGAAATCAAAACAAAGAATTTTTGCTATCTGTCTACCTCCACGGCTGTTGGTAAACCATTCATAAGAAATATTTTGAGTCAATTCCTTAATGCATTGTCAATACCATAACCAAAATTACAGATCAGTTCAGTTTCAGAAAATGAAGCAGCACTTAAAGGCAGGGATAAAAGCCTTCAATGCAAATATCCATGGAATGGTGAGATCAACAATGTGTGATACAAACTACTGGATTTCTCTGACTTCAAGAAAGAGAAAAGTTTATACTGATATTGATATACTTGAATGAATCTCCCTGTCTACTATGTCTGATATTAGGTTTTCATCCTGTAAAGTCCAAGAATGAATTTTAGGAACAACAGAGATTAAGAGAAGAATATACTTATTGAGAGGGAAAAAAAGCTGCCTGAGAGAGAGAAGGTGTCCTGAGCAGGTTGCCAAACACTGTCCATTCTAGGGACCTTTATAGAGTAAAATCATGTGGTGAAATGAGTTTAAGGTGGGGAAAACTAAGAACTCACAATGCTGATGGGCATAAGATGGGTCAGAGTTATGGTAGCCAATAAGATTATAAGTTCAGGTAAAGTTGATTTAATTGGGAACAAAGTGGGAAGGGAGTCACATAGAAAGCAGGCATTCTTACGCAGCTGTGACTTCCCTTAGGGGTTTGGGAGGGTGACTCCTGAGTTCTGCAGGATGATAGGAACTATTTAGAATGTCAGTCTTTAGGATAAGGATACATTTCTTTGAAAGGTGACTCCTGACTTCCTCAGAGTGCTAGGGAACTATTTAGAATATCAATCCTTAGGATATGGATGAATTTGCTTATCATTTGTCTTGAGCCTTGGCCCATAGCATGAGGTGTCAGTCTTCCCCATAGTTGCAAGGTATCTGGTCTCCTGCATGGGCTCCTTGGGGGAACTAGCCATGTCTCATGCCAATAGTATTTAAATAACTCAGGTCCCTGTAACAGTACTGTTTGGAAAATTGAGTACAGATGTCTTGTGCTCTGGGTGAATGATCTGGGGATGACAATGTGCAATGTATATACCATTGTTGCCCCCTGATTGACATGTTTTGAAATTTAATTTTAGTTGATGTGTTCTTTTGTCCTTGAAATAAAATGGATTTAAAAATTAAAAGTCTGAGGTAAAGCTCTTTAATACAAACACACCTCTGTCGATCTGAGTTCACCACTGTAGAAGAATGGCAGCTCCAGAAGTCTCTGCACTACAGTCTATCTTTTTGGATCCTCTCTTGCAGGGAGGGGTTCCTTTCTCTGTTTATTCTTGACTCAGAAGGAGGGCAATAGAGCAGGAGTCAATCAGTGATGAAGGGGCACGCTATATGAACTGTCCAATGAGATGGGCCATTGCTGGCTGTGACTTCTGTCTGTTCTGGTGTCTCAGCATGATTTACCTGTTCTGAGTACAACAGTGGTAGCAAAATGCTTGCTGGATCTCATTTAATATTTTTGATTTAATACTTTTGATGTCCTGTGGCCTGATTAGCAAAGAACCTGAGAGATCCTGGATCTATGGAATAGTGAGGTTGTGGATAGGAGCCCAGAAATAGGATGGATTGGGGGAAACCAGTTCCAGGGTTTAGGAGTAGTTTCGCTGTCAGAAGCCTCAGGTATTTAGTTAGCTTCAGCTCCTGAGGTCCTCCAGCTTTGGCCATGTGTCATTCACTATCCCTTTTGCCTCTTGCCATTGGCAAGGGTAATTTGGGGTCACCAGAACCCTGGCTTCACTATGACAGCAGCAGACTCAAGTATCATCTTTGAAATTCACTGCTAGCCTGGTAAGTCCACCATCTTAGGCATTGGGAGGAGCTTGGGAAGACCCTGACTATCATGCTTTTGTAGCTTGTAGAGCAGTAATGAGCTAGGTCTATGCTCTCTTTCCTCAGAGTAGCAGATCTGGAATGTCCAGAGTTTATTAATGTCTGTAATGCAGGGCCTCATAGCCACAATGGCTCAACTTAAACTTGGGCTTTTTTGTATTTATAGTGATCTCCTAAATTTATAGTATGTTCTCATATTTCCATTCTCATGACAGGTAGTGGCAAAGGTCCTGAGAATTCAGAGATGTGTAGTAGTGTGCCTCAGTGGAGAAAGGCTTCCCAAACAACTGGTGAACTCCTGTGTATTCTTGAACATTGCAAGATAATTTCTGAACATACTTAGTTATTTAGGTGTCACCCCTGCTCACAGACTAGGTTTGTGAAAACAGCCATAGAGTTTTGAAGTCTGAGAAAAATGAAGCAAATATGAAAGTGTTATCAAGGACAGGGTAAAAATTTGTGAAGGACAAATTCCAGAAAGGGCTACCTGTTAAATTATCATCGAAAAATGCCAAAATTTACGCATTTGCATGGACATATACACGTGATATCCTTCTGAATGGAAAGGAATAGAGGTGTCATCTCTGAATTAAGAGCTGGTTTAGTAGCTTGGGTGTTAATAGACAGTTTAAATATGGAAATTCTCTACAATGAACATATCTAAGTGGTGTAAATGAGAAGCCCTGAACAGAAATTTTGTAGGAGAAGAGGGTTAGGAAAGTGGGATGTTTGATTCTAGGTGGTACATTAGTAGGTTCAGGAGAAGAGGGATAAGGAAGTGGGATGTTTGATTCTAGGTGGTGCATCAGTAGGTTCACTATTGCTTATTAGGGAGACAGGCTGGTTGTTTGGTTTCACAGCGTCCTAAGTTCCAACATAGCATGGATCTCAGGAGCTGCTGCTGGTTCTCCCCCTGGAAGGGTTGCAGTTTTCCAGACTGCCACTGCTTACCAGGGAGAAGTGGTGCTTGCTTGGCTTCATAGTGTCCTAAATTCCAGCAGGGCATGCATCTCAGGAGTGGCTGTTGGTTTTCCCCCTAGAAGGGCTGCAGTCTGCCAAACCACCACCGCTGACCAGGGAGTGGAAGTGCTTAGTTAGCTTCCCAGTCAATTGATGAGATATTTATCTGCCTCTGTGCTTTGTGTTTGCTGGTCCTGCAGGCTTCTCACTGTGAGCTCTGCTTTAGAGAAAGTGCACAGGGAATCTTGCCATGACTCAGCACAAGAATCAGTGCTCCTATTTGGCTGTTACATTAGCAGTGAGTTGCAATCTAGCATCAAATTTGCTGTCTTCAAAAATGTGTATAGACAAAAAATTAACGACCAAGACATGGATTTAAATTTGAACAAATCAGTTTTCATTCAGCTGTTTTGTTTGCCTTTATTTGTTTAGTTTAGTTTTGTTATATTGAGACAAGCTTTCCATATGTATATCAGCTGGATTTGAACACCCTAGTGCCTAGAATTGCCCTGACCTCACTGATGCCTTCCTGTCTCGCCTTTTGAGTGCTGGGATTATAGATATGCACCACCACACTTTGCTTTTGATTCAGATTTGTAGGAGAGAATTTAAGATATCCCAAACCTGGGGTATCAACCTTCCTTTGAGAAATATATGTATGATCCTTTAGGAGGCGGTGACCTTTGAGGATGTGGTTGTGAACTTCAGCAATGAGGAGTGGAGTTTGCTGAGTCCATCCCAAAAGAACCTCTACAGAGATGTGATGGGTGAAATCTTTAGGAACATGGCTGCAATTGGTAAGGACGAAATCTTTTTGGCACTCATGCTGTCAGAATATTGTTTGTTTCTCATTAGTGCTGTTTCGTTAAAAAGAATATGAAAATATTTTTAAAAATAGTTCAGACCTGGACACATTATATCATAAATCTAAACAAAAATCTATTAATTTGTATGTATTACTCAACTGAGTCCTGGTATTTCTATGTCTCCAATTCAGGAGGACTTGGGGATATCCTGGAAGCTGAAAAAGAAGGCAAAATTTACTGGAGATACTTAAGGTAATTCCCACTCACAAGGAGAGGAATGTTCCTGAGTAATTAGTAAGTCAGCAGAGAAATGACCACCAAAGAAATGAAGCACTATTCAATTTAATGTCAGTAATATTCTCCACAGATGTATAAGCTAGTGTATATATGAAGGAATTAAATCATGAAAATGTATGACATTGCATATAGATGTGGATGAAAGGCATACACTTTGAGTTATGACATTCTGCCTTCAGTTTTTCTACCCATTTTTACATGTGAACACAACACATTCATTATCTAACAATTGCTAAGATTGCAATAGAATTTGAAATAAAACTTTGTGCTCATGTTTATAAGCCATCCTCTAGACAATCAGCGATTCTGATTAATATTCTTAGTAGGCTGGTGGACTGTTAGTGCACTCATTTTGAATATCAGTATGCAGTTGTCTCTAGACATTGATCCCCTCATACTCGTCCTGGATATTTTTCAAATCTCAAAATCTGCATAAAATACTGATACATTCTTACTCATATATAAAGCAGATCAAATTATAACAGATCAAGCCTTGAAGAATCTTAGCTATCTATCACTGGATTTGTGGAGAAGGAAAATGTTATTAGACTCTCTGTGGTTGTGCATTGTTGTAAACCCAGCACACTAGAAATCAGATTTTGCAGAATGGCAAATTCAAGTTCAAACTTCACAGCTTAATGTTCAGTGAAAATCTCTTAAAATAGATTTTTAAAAAGCTACAGATTTATGCTAATACCTGTTGTTCATTCCCAGCCAAGAAAAGAAAAAAATGTGTTATATAATGTCAAAAAATAAATAATATAATATCATTTGCTATAAGAATTAGATGGGTCTTTCACCCATCAATTCAGTGAAATAGCTAAGCTATAAAACCTAAAAGGTCACAGAGTTTCTTTTAGATGAGAAACAAAAATACAAAATGTGGGATGAAATTAAACAGAGTTGTTAGAGAAACGTACGACTGACCATATGGAAAAGGGAACTACAGGTTAAGGACAGAAGGGAGATTGTGATAGTGAAACATATGAGAATAATCTGCATGTGATACACATATGTACCCATGCCCAAAGTGAAGCTAAAGATTCTGCATTTCAAAGTACCAATTTTTAAGATTTCCAAATGTGTACCAGTCTTTTGGGAATGGTTGTTTTCAACATATCTTACAAGGCTATTCTGTTGCTTCATGGTCAGTATTTCTTAGCAGGCATTAAAAACAGAACTTGATATTAATGCAGTCATTACACAGAGACCCATTTCACTGTGAGTTTTTCTTTTTTTAAATTTAATATAAGGAAAGATTAAATTAGACAAAAATAAGTAGAAATAATATTGCTTTCAAAGTGAAAATAAACAGTAAGACATCGCAAGATGATGATTACATATGCTGCTCATAGAAATAGTTATGAAATACAAAAGTGAAACATATGAAGTGGGGATTCAAACAGTGAGACTGCAAACAGTTTTGTTCAACTCTCCAAGAAAAGCATAGTAATATGCTTATAAATCCTATATGTGATTTTTTTCTTTACAGAAATGACAACCTAGGGAAATCTTATGGACATACATCTTGGAGTCTGTGTAAAGAAGTATTTCTTTGTACTGCAGAAGGTAATGTGAATGTGAAAGAAACAGAAACACACCACAATGTTAAGATCCATGAAAAATATTGCAGTGGAGGGAAACCCTATGTATGCAAGCAATGCGGGAATGGTTTTACCACACATGGAATTTGTAAGAAACATGAAAGAATTCACAGAGGAGAGAAACCCTACATATGTAAGGAGTGTGGGAAAGCTTTTACAACATGTACCTATTGTCAAGTACATGAAAGTCTTCAATCTGGAGAAAAACATTATAAATGTAAGCACTGTGAGAAAGCTTTCAGCACACGTAGTTATTGTATAATCCATGAAAAACTTCACACTGAGCAGAAATCGCATATATGTAAGAAATGTGGGAAAGCTTTTAGCAGTAAAATTCATTGTCAAATACATGAAAGAATTCACACTGGAGAGAAACCCTATGTGTGTAAGCAATGTGGGAAAGCTTTTAATACACGGGGAGACTGTAAGAAACATGAAAGAATTCACACTGGAGAGAAACCCTATGTATGTAAGGAATGTGGGAAAGCTTTTACCAGACCTGGACGTTTTAAGCAACATGAAAGAATTCACACTGGAGAGAAACCCTATGTATGTAAGGAATGTGGGAAAGCTTTTACCAAACCTGGATATTGTAAGGTACATGAAAGAACTCACACTGGAGAGAAACCATATGTATGTAAGCAATGTGGGAAAGCTTTTAACACACGGGGAGTTTGTAAGACACATGAAAGAATTCACACTGGAGAGAAACCATATGTATGTAAGCAATGTGGGAAAGCTTTTAACACACGTGCAAATTATAAGGTTCATGAAAGAATTCACACTGGAGAGAAACCCTATGTATGTAAGCAATGTGGGAAAGCTTTTACCAGACCTGGACGTTGTAAGCAACATGAAAGAATTCACACTGGAGAGAAACCCTATGTATGTAAGGAATGTGGGAAAGCTTTTACCAAACCTGGATATTGTAAGGTACATGAAAGAACTCACACTGGAGAGAAACCATATGTATGTAAGCAATGTGGGAAAGCTTTTAACACACGCGCAAGTTATAAGGTTCATGAAAGAATTCACACTGGAGAGAAACCCTATGTATGTAAGGAATGTGGGAAAGCTTTTACCAGACCTGGATGTTGTAAGCAACATGAAAGAATTCACACTGGAGAGAAACCATATGTATGTAAGCAATGTGGGAAAGCTTTTAAAACACATGGAGATTGTAAGAAACATGAAAGTTCACATTCAATATAAAACCAGTGTATATAGGCATCATGAGAATGGTTTCAGCACACGTACATATTGCATAATGCATGAAAATCTTCACACTGGGCAGAAAACTTACATATGTAAGGAATGTGGGAAAGGTTTCAGCAGAAATGCTCATTGTCCAATACATTATAAAATTTACACTGTTGAGAAACTGTGTGTATGTGAAGAATGTGGGAAAGCTTTCACCACACATGGATACTGTAAAATACATCAATTACTTCACACTGGTGAGAAACCCTATGTATATAACAATGTGGCAAAGGTTTTACCGCATATAGTCACTGCAAAACAGATGAAAGAATTCACACTGGGAAGAACCACTGGCTATGTAAGCAAGTGGAGACACTTTCAGCAGCCAGATTGTAAGTGAAATACATGAATAAACTTACACAAGAGATACATCCTATGTGTTATGGGAATATTCTCAGCATACTTGATCATTGTTACATATCTGAAAGAGCTCACTGGGCAGAGATGCTATGAGGATTGACAATGTGAGAAATATAGCAATCCATGTTTCTTGTTAAATGCATAGAAAAGCATCACTGTTCAGATAGTTTAAATCTAAGTTTACTTTAAAAATCCCAAGGAGAACTGAAGAAATAATCAATACAGAAGTTTGATGTCAATATTTCTTCACAGATATTCCAGAAATGACAAATCTGAGGTGGAGCTCTATTCAATTGCATATGTTTTATGATTTTCAGTTAATCACTTGTACCTCTCTAGATTTTTAAAGTGTTTTTGTGCTTCAACATGGCATCTTGTAATTAAACATGCTAAACTGAAATGGGCTTTTCACTTTTAAGTATGGATAGTGTCTATGTACTTAATATTTTGTCTTTAAAACTTAAATTTTATATTTTTTGGTGAATTGTAATGTTGTTTATTTAAAGAGAAAAAAGTGTAGAAATAATACAGAATTTCAGAAAAATAAACAATAAGAAATCACTAGTTGATTAGTATCATATTGTCATCTTAGAAGTAGTTGTTCAAGTTACAAATTTAAAGCATACAAAGTGATATTCAAATAATGACACTGTCAACAGTTCACCTCAAAGATCCATCAAAAAGTTAATATTATGCCTATATGTCCTAAACACTTTTTTTTCTTAAAGAGGGTAAGATTAAACATGGTGAAACAGAGCAGAACAGTTCATAAGGAAACAAGTTAAGGAAACACAGATTTCAAAGCAAGTCCACTGGAAATGTTCACTGTCTATCTTACTGTCTTTAGTTTTCTTCCAAATAGTTGTTCCCATCTTCACACACATTGAATATATACTGAATATTATAGAACTAATCAAATAATTACAGGATGATGCAGGCTTTTTCGATCTTCAAGACTGATTTTGGGGAAGTCGATAATGTCTACCATAATGTCTCTCATTCTCTTTGTAGTGGCTGCCTTTATCTTTATGTATGCTGAAATGGAACATAAGAGACTAGACTAATATCACTCTGAACAGTGAATAATAGTATCCTAAGAAGGAGAAAGGTGAGGAATTGCCTAAAAAAAGAAGGCAGAGGACATTGTTAAAAGTGTATTAGGATTTAAAAGCTACAGTAGTCTTGTTGCTCTGTTTAGTTTGGTTATATTTTGTTCTGGTCTGTCTACTCATATTAGATTTGAGGGCACAGAGAGATAACCCAAAATGAGCAGGTTATACCATGGTAATTATCCTTAATTTCCTATTAACTAAAACTGAATCCCTATATTACTTACATTGTCTTCTATGACTGATGTTCTTTGAAGCTGGATTGTTTGAATGTTATTTGGCCTTGACTGATTTTATTCACATTTGGTGTGCTTGCTGGTATCAAGTTCAAGAGAAGAGGCAACTACTGTGAAGATGACAAGATGTAAAAGATATCCATTGGTGGGCTGGGGATTTAGCTGAGTGGCTTAAGCACCTGCCTGGCAGGTATGAGGTCATGAGTTTGGTCTCCAGAGCCAAAAAAATAAATAAATAAAAGATATCCATTCCAGATTTGATTATTTTTTAATTAAAGAGAAAAAAGAAAGGAAATATTAAAAAGCAGTAAAAGGGTATAAGTAATACAGTATTTCAAGAAAAAATACAGTAAGAAATCACAGTTAATAGGTTACATATTGTCATCTTAGAAACAGTTGTCCAAATTATAAAATTAAAGCATATAAAGTGGACATTCTTACAGTGAGATTGCAGAAAGTTCTGTTCAGTGATCCAACAAAAGCTCAGTAATATGGTTTTCCATCCTACACACTCAAGCATGCAGTTATATCCCTTAGACCACCTTCCTTTCCTCTCTTTTTTACAATAACAATTACACATTTTGAGTTTTTTTACTCCCACAGTTCTTATTAAATTTTTTACAAGAGAATGAATCTTAACATGACTAAATAAAACAGAGTCAGTTAGAACAGAAGGATGGACATAGTACATGATGCAAAAATAGAATATCAGATGATAAAAAATGGTTACCATTGTGCCTCTTGCTATTTTTAAAAAGAGTTGCTATATCATCATGTATAATAGAATTGATCAAAACAGTACATAACAAGACCAATAAAACCTACACTGGAGACCTTGCAAGATTTCAAAAGAAGATAATAGTCAAACTATAGTGGGCATCATAATAAATCTTATTGCCTTCAAAGTGGTTGCCTATACCCTCAAACTTGATACTATCATACAAAATAGAATATAGTAAAATCAGACAGAACAAGATGTGGAGAGCAATACTGGCATTCAAATCAAGTTAATAGGAAAACAAATAGTTACTATAATATATCCCGCTATTTTTAAATTTAGTTTTCCTTTAATTGAAAAAAAAAATAAAAAGTAGTTTAATTTTTAAAAAAGGGTGGAGATTGAGATAAAAGAGGACATTGTAATAGAACAACACTGGTCAGAATGGAACAATTTAAACGTAATTATGTTTCACTCCCAGATAATCTAACATAATAGTAGTCACCATATTGCCTCATTCCTCAAATTATTTGAGTATAACTTCATATACGATAGCATCAAGCATATCAAGACAGTGTGAAGCCATTCAACTGAATGAAAGAATTACAGGATAGTTAGAACCAGTTAACAGAAAATGAACAATGGTTTCTATATTATCACCTTGCCTATAAAACTTTTTCTTAATACTATCGCATATAGTAAAACATAGTAAGATACAACATGTTAAAAGCAGTGGGAACAGATAGTTTGTTAGAGCAGGACCATTCTTGCACCACTGAGATTGAGCCCAGTGTTGATCATGTTGGTTAATTTTGAATATCCTGGTGAGTTAACCTTGCAAACATTTAGCTGAACACTTTTGTGTATGTTTGGTAGGAATATTAGCCAACACAGTGTTTTCATTTATATTATTTTTAACACATTATTGTCTGGCTTCATTCTCAGGATAACTTTAACTTTGTCACTTAAAAGAAGTTGGTGGTGGTTTTTCCTTCAACTTGATCGAAGAATTGAAAAACAATCAGTATTTATTCTTTATTATATACTGTATAAAATTCACCAGTGCACTTATTGTATCCCAGCTTTATTGTTGTTATTAAGCAGCTGTGATTTTTACCCATTGCCTGTGCTCCTTATTGCTCTGTTCATCAGACTATTTCCTTCTGATGCATGTGGTTCGGGGACATCAATGGACACCACATATCCATTAAAGGTCACATCTCATTTTACTTACGGATGCTACCATTTACTTTTGTATCTTCAAACTATCTCTATAATATATAATTTTGTGAGTGACCCCTTTCAATTACTCAGATTTAATGCACATTCTTGCATGGTGTGGTTACTGCTGGAGGAAACTGGGCCTGGTGAGGGCCTGGTCTCTTATTTAAGGCTTCATACCCTGACCTGCCTGCAGTGTCCCCATCTCCTGACCTGCTCCCTGTAAACACCTGTCCTGCTCCATAGCTATGGTGAGTCCATATGTGGCAGTTCAGATCTGCACCTGGGTGGAAAACATTCAGTCAATTTGGGCTCTGTAACAGACTGACCTCAAACAGAGCTCCCCTGAGTGAGACAGGGGGCCTCAGGCATGTAGGGAAGAGCTCTGAAACCATTCCAGCTCTCTCCTGTCCATTGTGGAGTGTGTGACGCTTTCCTTAGAACACATTGATGGATGAGGCAGCCTGGACTGGGCCTTTTTTAGCCATGATTCCTGCTAGCTGCTATGGTGTCCTGCTCCTCTGCCTGGACCATCTCTCTGACTTCAGATCTCCACAGAGATTTGAGCAGACTCAGTCTTCCTCTACCAGGCTCTAACTCTATGCTGAGGATTCAAGTGAAATATCTGTGACCCTGAAATTCATCTTATATACATTTAACCTGGAAATTCCACTTCTAAGGGTCATTATAAAAAATGAGATTGATAGACACCATATTATCTTCTTAATCAGTTAAGGTGTGGACAGTTAGAAACCATGAATGTTCCACAGCACAGTTGCTGAGTTAATTATAAATTATAGCCACTGAAAAATGCTGAAAGAAGGCCATGTCCCTGATCTTTCCTGAGATTCAAGAGAGCTTGTGTACTGACACTCTCTCCACCCAGCAGTGAAGAGACACAGACCTGCACAGCAGTTGAGGACAGGAGAGAGAAGCTGGTCGATGGCAGACCTCTCATCCTGGGAAGGATGCCCTTGTGGTTTTTCCATTTTATTTTCCACTGCATTATTTATAGTGTTCCATTCAGTATTACTTCTCTTCTGTTCAATTCACTTAAGAATATATAGTTGGTATTTTCTTGAATAGGTGAGTAGAAATAGATGACTTAATTCTCTTCTATATGTAATGTAGGATACACATATAGAAGAACATTCAAACTTCACTTTATAGATATATAAAATAAGGAGTCTTTTTATTCAGAAAGGCAACACATCATTCACAACTAACTTTTAAACCCCCAACACATGAAGCCATGCAGATCCTGCTCTGGTGGGTGTCCTGCCCTCCCTACCTGAGAAGTCAGTGTGTTCATCTCTGTCTGGTAGAGGACACCCAGAATCTTCTTCAGAGTCTCTTTTTCCAGCAAGGAAGACTTGAATCTTCCTGTCCTCAGGCCAAGCAGGGAGTGTGCAGCATGCAGAGGAGCCCAACACATCCTACCTTACACCCATTTCCATGACTGCATCCATGCTGCAGCCCTGCAGGCCCAATAAGGCAGAGCCACGAGGGTGCAGCAAAGACTCTGCCACCTCAGCCCCAGGGGCCTCAACTCTTGGGTCCGGGCCTCAGCTCCACCAGGCTCCAGGCACTGCCTTCCATTGGACATTCATAGCAGGCCAGGCACACGATTAGTGCCTTGGGGCAAAGTCCATTTTCCACAGTGACAATTCCATTCTGCATATTTTGATCCTTTCCTTTCTAAATGAGGCTGAGGCATTCGAAACAAAACCCCACACATTGTCATTACTTTTTGTTTTTCTTTCTTTTCTTTCTTCTTTTTCCTCCTCCTCCTCCTCCTTCTTCTTTCTCTTCCTCTTTGTCTTCTTCATGGTTTCTTTGATGCTTTAAATACATATTTAGAAGTGTATTTTGCCAAAAAGTTTCCTTGTCTTTTCACAGCCCAGTTAACTGAAGTTTTTACAGATTTCTGCTGCAGTTCACACCCTATGTGTTTGAACACTCAGAATCCCTTCTGCAGCTTAGTAGAATGAGTGAAGCAAAGCAGAAACTGAACTTGGGGCATTGTCCGGTGCCGCGTCTGTCCCACAGAATGAGGCACACGAACACTTTGTCTCTGCAGGCTCCTTTATTGACTGGGCTACAACCTCAATACA